TTAACAATCCCAAAAGGTGAAGCCGGTTGTGATTGGGATTTTAAAGATGATTGCGATTTTGATTGCCTTTTGCTTGACACCATATGAGCTTTGGATTTTGATGATGATCCATATTTTGGTAGAGGAAAAGATGATTGTGATGGCATTGGTGATCCACATGTCAACCTTGTATGACCACTTTCCTTGCACTGACTACATGTCGATATCTTCTTCTCTTCACCCTTAGACGATATACGATCGTGACTTTTTGGTCGGCCAGGTAGCCTTTTGTCCATGGCTGGTGGCAAAACTGTTTGTAAGTCATCTGGTATGTCCCACTCAGAAGGATGTGGAATAGGGTAGACAATCTCGCCATAAGTCTGTCGATATACTTCTGTAGTGTAGCAATCCATAGCGTATGCGCTTGAATCATCTTGGTTTAGATGAAGAGAAACTTTTATAACATGGCCACACGAATAACCAGATGTTTGCCATTTCATACAACTACACGTATTTGCATTTAGATCGACAAGCCCATTTAAGTTATTACCCAGTACTTCAAACAAAGTGTTTAAACATGGTTCAACTCTCCATGACGTTGACTTCACAACACGTTTCGTTATCTTTTTTTCTGTCCATGGTGTAACACGATGTTCCAATGTTCCTGTAAATTTAAATAAATAATACTTAGTAAAATATATGATAAGTTACGAATTTAAAGAAATAATACCTGCATGGTTTCTTTTCATGTAGTACCACTGTTGAATAGAGGCTCGAAAAAACTTCATTAACATAGTAATGGGTAATTTCCGGGAATGACGACTTAGAGCGTTGATTGATTCTGCACTATTAGACGTCATGAAAGCATATCTTGCTCCAAGTTGATGTACTCTTGACCATCTTTCAAACCCGACATCTTCTAGTGTTTGAGCACACTGAGGCAAAACACGTCTTAAACAGTTTATATGCTTATTAAAATCCACATCCCGATAAGCTTTTACAGCCTTCCAGTATGTCCATTTATGATATTTTATACCAGCAGACCTTGATTTTAGATTTCTATACAAATGAACACCACAAAGTCTATGAAAAGCATCTGGGAAACACCTTCTAACAGCGTTGTCAATTGAGTTTGCCCTATCGGATATGATTTTCAGATTGCTAATAGGACCTATGCAATCCCTAAGATGCCCCATAAACCATGTCCATGAATCAGAGGTTTCAGATTTGCCAACCCCGTAAGCTATTAGCAGTATCACATTGTTAGCATCCATGGCTACTGCTAATAAGTTTACTCCAAGGTATCGACCTTTTAAATGTGCTCCGTCAACTATAATAACTAGGCGCATGCAATTAATAAACTAACGAATCTACAAAATCATATACACAAGAAATATAATCATTTAAATGTGAAATACATGTAACTAACAAAAATGAGTCAACAAAATTATATTGATTTACTAACCGCAGCACCAATGGCGATAAACAGCAACTCAAAGCGTCCATCTCTATCTGTTTTGATATGAGTTACCGACCCAGGATTTTTCAGCTTTAAATTGTGACAATAAGCCAGTAGTTGGGCAAACGATGCTTCTGGCGACCCCCTCAACAATTCCAAGGCATAATATTTGGCTCTCCAAGCTTGAGAATATGAGATACTAATATTGAATCGAGCATTCATGTCAGTCATAATTTCATGTCCCCGGTATACCCTACCATTCAAAAACATTAACTCAGCCAGAAAACCACCCAACACCTTTTTTGCTTGCCTGTCTATGGTGAGGAAAAACTTGGGTTCTTGAACATGTATGTTTATCAATAAAAGTCCTAACTTGAAACATTTTGTAATCTTTTATCCTCTTTGCAATCATACGCCACATACAGTTTTTGTCAATCATACACCTTGTTTCGAAACGATCTTTGCTTGATTTGTTAACTTTTAGTTGATAGCCATCTTCCACACATTTCGTATACAAAGCTATCTTCAAGTCTTCCTTTGTATCAAAACAATCATCTTTCTTGATACGAATAATTTTTGTGTAACAATCAATTGCTATCTTTACCAACTCTTCTTCCGGTATCTGAAGTAATTCTGGCATATTCCAGTTATACTCCCGTGGCATTTTCTTCGGGGACTTTTCTTTGGGGATTTCTTCTTCTTCTTTTTCTTCTTCAGTGTTATATGAATTACAGAATGGATGTTCAACATGTTCATTTACAGTCGCAACTTCCTCCTCATTATCATCAACAACATCTTCCTCGGCACGGCTGTTTCATCATCAAAATTCGGGTATTGACCAATATCAAAATCATTACACGCATGGTCTGTTTCTTCTTCTAAAAAATCATAAAAATCTGAGTATTGACCAATATCAAAGTCCGGGTATTGACCAAGATCAAATTTTGAATACTGACTAGTACTCACAATTTTTTTTTGTTGGCTCATCATCGTCTAACTGGTCAATACGAAAACCGGAATTTGGTGCTGAAAGTTTGATTGGGATTTGGATTAGGGAAAGGTTGTGGGTTTTGAGATTGTGTTTGGTATTGGAAATGTGGTGAAACAATATTTACTTGGTGATGAAATTGTGGTGGAACCATTAAATTTTGAGCACCATAAACTGGGGTTGAAAAACTTAGTTGATTACTACCCGCTACTGACCCAACTTCACTACTTCTAGGTTCAACAACATACAATGTAACATCATCACTTGAAACACTAATGTAAGCAATGAATCGTTCAACATCTTCATTGTCGGTTAACAAATAAACTTTACCATTTCTCTGATAAGATAGCCTAAATCCACTTAGGGGCTCTAAATTCAATTTATTTGCAACACATAACATTAGAGTTTCATAAGTTAACTTTTTTAATGACAGTTTTAGTTGAAAATTCATAGGTAAAGGCATATATTGTAAAACACCATGAACATTCTCCCATGACCCTCCAAAACACAAATCTATCCAAACATGATTAACATTAGATGATTTCATTATTGTAAATTAATTTACTAAACAAACGAGCTGCGAAACTAAAACCTGTTGCCGGATGGGGAAGGATGTTGTTGGATATAGAAACGGATGTCGCCAGAGAGAGTGATAGATGGAGATGGAATGAGTTGCGATTTAGGGATTTAGGTTATGAGTTGCTGCTGCTGCGTAGTTATATACCCAAAATATTTGTGTTGCGAAATTAAAACCTGTTGCGAATTCAGAAATCGAGTTGCGAATTTGAAATTCAGTATTGCGATAGTCAGAATCTCATTGCGATTTACGTAATCGCATTGCGATTTACGTATTCGCATTGCGAATTAGGAAAATCGCAACGCGAATTTGGGAAATCGCAATGCGATAGTTAGAATCGCGTTGCGAATCTGGAAACTGATTTGCGATACCGGAGATCGCGTTGCGAATTATCGATCGCATTGCGATTTAGTTGGTCATTTTGGCAAATCCAAAAAAAGTTGATTAAAATCATATATTATAAGACATTTTTGGTCACTGAGGTTATTTTCTCTTTTTTTTTAACATTCTAAATATTTGATTGCTTCATGTAAAAAAAGGGTTAATTTCCAAGTTTCATTTTCAAAATTTAATATATACCTTTAAATTGGAAAGATTAGAAAGCTTTCGGCAAAGCATTAAATCCTTGGCTCACATAAGTAAAAAAGTGCATCCCCAAGAGTCGATCCGACTCCTTTTTCAGCGTTGTTGTTTTTGTTAATTCTGCCTTATAACTCCCCAAGTTTTGCATGCATTAAGAAAGTTGGGATGAAGGCAACGTGCATTGTGTCATACTCCACAATTGAAACCCGGAATCTCTAGAAAATAACACTCTTTTTAACTATTGAGGCCGGAATGTTAACCGGTTAAACACGGGAGGAAGAAAGATGATTGGGAGAGAAGCGTTAAATATTAAAGATGGTACGAACATAGAGAAACAGAGCAGCAGTCTCAAACTCCAGTGGACGACCATTCTGCGCCATGTTTTGCAATCGATTGTCAAACAGATATTGTCCTAAAATTTACGTTCCATAGTAGAAACAGAACTCATTGCCCAATGACAGATTCAAAAATATTTTTTAGGGTGAATATACATATGTTAAAAGTATAAAGTTTTTGAATGAGGTAAGCATAGATATTTCAAGGTGGAAATCATCAATAGAATAAGTCACTAACTGAAGAAAATTCAGAGTTCATGGTGGACACAATAAATTTAAAGGTAGACATTATCAATAAAATAAGTGACTAATCGAAGAAAATACGGATGAGTGGATCCGCCACTCCCACTGCCTGTTTTGATAGCCAAGTGTTGGGCAATATACCATAAAAATTGTAATAATTGTTTTCCATCGTTCTTTCTTGGTGCGGATTGGGGTTTCCCTGTTTGATTGCAACTTATGAAGGGACACCACCTCTTGCAATTATGTGATGTAAAATGTAAAATGTAAAATTTATCTCTCTGAATATATGCGTTACCATATTCTACACTCAAATTAATTACCTTAGAAATACTGTGTGTGAACTTTAAATTCTCAAATCAAAATACACAGAAGAATTCATAATGAAATCACAAAATAACTAAACCCTTTTGCTAATCAATGTAAAAAAGCATGGCAGTTGGTTTATTAATTACTCTTTCTTCTTTGCAGCGGCTGATCTCTCCCTCTCCATTTGTTCAAATAAGCTTCCATCATAAACAGCTCTAATGGTATCCTTCCTCAGCAATCCTTGATCTTCTTTGCAGAACAAGTATAAAGTCTTCCACTCCGTCCAGCTAGCAACCCTGCCAGTCCAATTTTGTACAATACTAGTACTAATTACTACATACATACATACAAAATTTATGAATACGTAATGGATTTACCATCCTTTGTAATCCTGGGGTTCCCTGTTAGCCTTGAGCATTGCAGATAGTTCATCTGATGTTAAGGCGTTGGGATGAGTACGAGCGAATTTGGTGAACATTTCCACACACACCAATGCTCCACATATATGAATATATCATTGCAAACTGATTGTTTAATATCATACAAAAGAGATGGTGAGATCTTTACAGGGCGAGTTTTGCGACTGACAGCAACATTGATGAAGAAAGAACTGATCAATGACAACAAACACACATACCCTACATGCACATGCTCCACATATATGAATATATCATTGCAAACTGATTGTTTAATATCATACAAAAGAGATGGTGAGATCTTTACAGGGCGAGTTTTGCGACTGAGAGCAACGTTGATGAAGAAAAAACTGATCAATGACAACAAATAACCAGCCCCGATTGCTCGAAAACCTAAAAAAACCCAGAACTTAAATAACCAGTAGCAGTTCTCTCTAAGAATTAATAGAAGAAATACCTGCAAAAGTCTCCCATGGATAAACAAGGCCATCATGGTTTCTGTCGAAGAACGCAACATGTTTTTGCAGAACGTTTTCGGGCTCAACAGCTCCTATATATCAAACAAAAATTCTCTCATAGTTATGGAAATTCAGTAAAAGATAAGATTTGCAGTATATATGTATACATACCCTCTTGAAAATCTCTGGATGGCAACGAAGAAGCGATTTCTGAAGACGCACAAACGAAGGAGATGGCGAGAAGATGATGTTTTTTTATATATAAAAAGAAAAGGTTGTTAACTGGGAATAGTTTTGATTCTCTAGCTTTCCCTTTTTCCTTTATTCTTTGCAACATGGAGTACACTAAAATCTGAATTTTTTATATTAATTGTTCATTCTACTAAAGATATTTACCTTAAAATTTTATGTGTCCACCCATATGATATTTTTTTATTAGTAATACATATGTGATCACTCTAAAAATATTTATAGATCTACCGCTCCTTTTCAACTATGATTGCAATGGAGACTGAGGGTCCTGGTTAACTGCAACTTCTATAGGGGTTGGATGCACTAAATGAAAAATAAAAGATTTTGATTGTCTTCCTATTTTTAAATTTAATTTACAAGTATAAGCCACCATTATAATTGTAAATAATAAATATACATACTATAATTAATATATAAAAATATTATAATTTAAATTCATTGGACTATTTTATTTGTAAAAAGAAAATGTATTTGTTCTTGAATTTCACTATCAATGAAACATATATATTAAAACCGAAATAGCTTAGGAGCCGAATCCCCTAGCTTACAGAGCTCGATTGAGATCAAACTATGATCAGAAATTCCAGGAGCTAAGAACTCCACAAAAGAAGACGGATACATCACATGCCAAACCGACACTAATCATCACCCTCATCAAGCTTCCTGCACAAAGGTCTTTCCACTTGATGATAGGACTAAGTGAAAAAAGAACCCACACTAGCATGATCAAAAACCTGCAACCCATCAACACACTCCTGAAAATCAATCATGTCCCTCGAAATATCCATCAAAACCGAACTCTCTTGAGGCTATAAAACTACATTTAAATCACCAGCCAAACACCAAGGTGCATCCCCAATCAAATTTTTTATTCCCTGCAAATGGTCCCATAGAACTCTTCTACCAGCGCCATCATTATGACCATAAACTACAGTGAAGTAAGTAGCAGCAGACCCACCCTTAACACCACATGCAATGCTTTAGCTGTAGCAATCGTATCCAATACCCCCTTAGAATACCACAAAATCCAAATTCTACCGTTTTGAGCCTCAACATAGTTATCACAACTCTCTCATCCCCTGAACCATTTCCTAAGAATCAAGTCTTTATTAGGAGCCTTGACTCTAGTCTCTACTAGACAAATAATATCAACTTTCAGACTAACAATTCTACTAACAATACAATCCTGCCTCCTAGGACATTTTAACCCTCTGACATTCCATACAACAATCTTCGATTAAAAAGAAGAATCAAACATTCTCAGAGACAGCCTAAGCTCTCCTGCTACCCTTCTTTTTATCAAGCTTATTTTGCTTACCCGCTTTCAAGACTTTTACCAATTCAGCCACTCCATCAGCAGCAACTCTGTGCTTTTTTGGAGAAACCATCATATCCCCAACTTTCCTATGCAACCCAGCACCCCTTGAAAGAACAGAAGAGACCACAGTGGAAGCCTCCCCAACCCTGCCCGCTCTAGCAACAGTAGTAGGAAGAACAACATCCTGCCTCGCCTCAATCAAACCAAATGGACCTTCCCTTAACCCAGCATCCACAACAGGATCTCGAGAACTAGGAGCATTCCTAACCTCAGCAATCTCTCATTCCTCCAATTCAGACACCACATCACAATGAATAGCAAATCTGTTATCAGAATTCCTCAAAAGCTTCTTATTACCAGAACTATTTCCCTCAACCACAGGCTTCAACAACTTCTCTTTTTTAACCTCAACCAGAGCCTATGGAGCCTTAGCTTTAGCCAAAGCCGTATCAAGCCCCTGAACAACCCCAACATTCACAACTTCCATCTTTTGAACCCCTCCTGCACCGTCCCTTTCCCTGGGCACTTTTGTGATGTATGCCCAAAAACAGAACAAGAAGAACACTTATGGGGCATCCGTGGAATCTCCACAGTTACATCAACAGTCGAACCATCTTGCAGAACAACTGAAACAACACTAGGCACCTCATGAGCAACATCAATCTCAATGCAAACCTTTGCATAAACAAGCCTCGATTTCTCAGCCGTTATACGGTCCATGTATAAAGGTAAACCAAGAGCACTGGCAATGTAACTAATCCCCCTCCGCGTATACAACTCCAAAGGAATACCATACAATTGAACCCAAATAAGAAATTTGTCAAAACTAAATTCCAAAGAAGTCATCCCAGGTTCCCACTTCAGCACCACCAAAGGTATATTCTGAATATGCCAAGGACCGTGTTCAAGAACCCAATCCCTAGCCTCCTCCGAACTAAATTGAACAATGAAAACCTTCCTATCAGCAGGCTTAATAGCAACCGAACCCAATTTACCCCAAAGAATCCCAATCAATTTTTGTAAAGCCCCAAAATTAGAAACTTTATCAACAAATTGCGTAACCAAGGAATTTTGCCATACCTGAGATCTCGCCAAGAAAACCTCTTCAAGGGGAGAAACCAAAAGAAAGCCATTACTGAACACCGGAGGAATGAAATTAAGCTTCTGCTCCTCACACGACTCAAAACAATTGACGCCAGTTTCGCGATGACGACCCATTAGCACCACCCACAGCCGTAGATAACGTCATTCCAAAACCCAAACGCAAAAAGCAAAGAAACCCACCAAAGAATTAAAGAATCACAAAAAAAAAACGAGAAAGAAAACCCAAGAAACATGCAAGAACCCCTTCGCCATTTACCCCTTTTCTTTTCTTTTACAAAGCCATCAAAAAGAAAATTATGTAACAACAATTTTAACTCTCGAAATTTAGGATTATTTCCCCCTTCCTCGAGCTCGAATAAGTCGGTGGTGTTTGATTCTTAAGAAAATGCAAGAAAATTCATTTTCTTCTTCCTTCTTAAAGCGGGTAATGAAATGGTAAAGCAGTTGAAAATATTAAAAAAATAAACTAAAGCATTAAGCAGATAGATCGGAAGGAGAAAGAGTTGGCAACTTGGAAAAGAGATGCGTGTGAGAAGATGACAGGAGACATAAACTAAGGATTAATTCAACCAACTTCCTCAAACTATAGTCAAACTTCTAAATTATTCCCAAACTTTAAAATTAGGATCAATTACTTAAATGTACAAATATTGAAGATCAAATATGAAATTATACCAATTTTGTTAACCGTAACGTAAGCATTTTCGTTAACCGTTAATGGCTAATGACTATATTAAATCCAATTAAATAGTTTAATGGTCAGATTGACGTAAATTTAAAAATAATGATCATTTCGAGATAAAATCTAGTTGGATGGTCATTTATATCGTTTACCCTTGATATTTTAAAAATAATATTTATAATCTACCCGAATTTTACGCCTGCATATGTGTGCGTATCTCCCTCTCTCTCTCTCTCTGAATAATCAACGCATGTACATGTATGGAGATAAAATGTTTTCTTTTATCGAGATTGCAATTACAAATAACACATTAAGATAATTATATCAAAACCAACCATCATAAAAACAGTCATACATATAATCAGAATATCTCTGAATAATCAACATACTTTTGGACATAAACAAGAACAAATTTGAAGGAAAAAAAGCAACTAATTTACGCAGGATAAGACTTGGTGATCCATAAGATCTTTCCATATGAATCACTAATACATCTAACAAAGACAAGCACAAATTGGAGCATGAGTACAAAAAAAAATCTGGGTATACCACCAGATTTCAAAAAATTCGAAGTATACTCGCGCTCCACACATTAACCTTATCCGAAAGCCCAAGCGATTAATTATAAGTGGCTAAAAATGCCCCTATCTACAAACAACTTCTGATATTTTGTTGCTGCAGGGACCCCAGCCTTTCAACCAGTATGTCCAAGGCCTCCTTCATCCACCAATGTTGGCACACATCCCTTGCTTCTTTCACATTCATCTGAGCAAAATTATTAACATGAGATTAGAGATCTCGACCCGTATTCGAATATAGATATGCATACGAGAAACCGGATTTAAACATAGCCGTATCGAACACATCTTCGTACACGGAACAGCTTACCCAAGTTCGTTTTCGGAGACTTTGTTCCGGCCAGAAAGCGAGTTCTTCCTTGACAAGCAAAGGGAACATGTACCCTTCATAGAATGTGCCATGGCGTTTGCTCAAGAAGTCCCATTTGCCCAATTCACGCTGTGTTCAGGGTTAATTTTAGGGTTCTTTTGATTATGATAGACGATTTTGAGAACAGGGTTTAGCAGTTAATTTGATCATGATACGAACCTCAACCTTGCCTACGACACCGGCTTCTTCGATTGACTCTCTTAAAGCAGCTTCTTCTCTAGATTCATCAAGTTCCCAACCACCCTGATGATTAAGAGCAAGGGATTATTACATAAGATTAATTATAGTTTCCTCTTCTAAAAATAAGGAGTAATACCTTAGGGAACATCATTTTCTGGCATTTTTGTGAGGAGATTAGGAGAACCTCCAAGTCATTGCTCAATGTTCCGTCTATGTTACCTTTGTATCTGTACGGGATGCACCTGGAAATCATCAAAATCAAAGAAAATAATGAGCCGTTTTCATGGAAACTATGGATTTATTAGGTTTTATAAGGAAACGAGTCAAATCCCCTAATTCAAAGAACAGATCCCTCCGGCCCAAAGGAGTTTCCAAAAAATCTTCATCGTGAAAAAGAGCGAAGTCCCAAACAGGACGACCCACTCACCCGACAACTTGGCGGCGGCCGAGGCTATCGTATCGCTGCAAGTGCCTTCCCGTGCGAGAAACCAAGCAAACCATGGTCAAAGAAGAAGGAAGAACGAGTCGAACGAAGAACGGTTCAAAACCCAGAAATGTTTAGGAGGATACGAACTTATAAACCAAATTTCTCGAAGCAAAATTGTGAAGAATCTTAAATCTGGGCAAACAAGCTTAACCCCGAGGGAAAATTAACAAGATTCTTGGATTCGTAACGATAGTCCAACAAAGGAGACTTGCTCCTTCGTGTAAAAAGGGAGATGATTTGAGAATTTGGAATACAATTAGTTGGACAAAGCCATAGAAAGGCAAAAAGGAAAATGTATGGCGACTTAGCCACTGAGGGGATGAGCGGAAGATAATGGAACAACACAGTGGTCATTTATAGAAGATGATAGAGACACTATATTAATTAATTAGTTAATCAATTAACTAATTTTGCACCAAAAAATAATTAACTAATTGAAATAATAATCATTAACGTAGTAATAATAATAATTATTATTATCTATGAATAATCTCTGCTACTAAAGTACATTTTCTCAAAGAAAATTATTAATGAGATTTGAGGTAAAAAGCAGTTGACTGTTATGGAATAGTGTCATGTGACCGGGCATCTTGTTTATTTTTTTAAAATGTTAGAGAAATTAATAAATTATTTTAATATATATATATATATATATTTTTATAATATTACTTTTAAATATAATATTTTTATCAGTAGTAACAGTTTTTCGTCGAATTATAAAAGATATATTATGGAAAGTAATAATTTGTTTTCTAAAATTTATTTAGGGTAAACTATGTATTTAGTACATAAACTATCAGTTTTGACCCGTTTTAGTACCTAAGCTTTTAATTTTTTAAAACCAAACCTAACGTTTAGTTTTCATTTCATTTTAGTATCATGCTGTTAAAAACTTAATGCGTTTAGTACCTAAACTATCAGTTTTTATACCTAAACTTTCATTTTTTTTAAAAAAAAAAAACTTACATTAGATTTTTGAACATATACTAAAATGAAACAAAAACTAAATTTTTTGACGGAGGAAAATTAAAATGAAACAAAAAATATACTTTAAGTGTGATTTTGAAAAAAAAATAAAAATTTAAGTACTAAAATGGACCAAAACCAATAGTTTAAGTACTAAATAAGTAAATTACCCATTTATTTAATATACTAATTAATCTCTTCGTCTCATTAAAAGTGTCTATTTTGATTTTTTAAAATCGTGTTATTCAAAATGTAGTCAACAAACAAATAACCGTTATATTTCTTATTTTTACCATTATATGTCTCACTTTTTTAAATTTATCAAAATAAAGCAGTTAATTCTATCAATTATCTTTTAAGGATAATTTTATCATTTTTCATACCTCTAAAAATTATATGCGTAGTTAATATAAGACACAAATTATGAGACATAAAAAATATATTAATAATACGTTAAATAAAATAATATAATTTCCTTAATATTATGTCAAGTAGCAGTGTAGTTGAGATTTCTCCTCTTAAAGATAAGAATACACTGTGAAACAAATACTCCAAAAAGAGTATGAAATGTTTTGAAACTTTTTATTTAAGTTTATACATATATAATATTAAGTGTTAACAATTTTAAAATAATAATGTTTATTTTAAAAATAGTATATTTTAATTTATGAACACATTTTTCACAAAAGTAAATGTTTTCTAAAATAATAATGTCAAAGGAGTCCGTAAAATATAATGTTTATTAAAGTCTTAAAATTTTGAAGAAATTTCATGTAAAGCTCAAAGAACATTGAACCTTGACTTTTATAGGTACACATTTATTTTAGAGGGACCAACGCCCTTCTGTAGGGCTTCCCTCGGTTCTACCCTATATTCCTGTGGGCTGGCTTTTAATGAAATTTTCTCTTTCAGATAGAAGGGCTTATGTTTAATATTAATTTATTTAAATATAAAATTTATTTTGAAAATAAAATTGGACATAACGTTAACGTTTTTGCTTATTTTTATAAAAGGTTTTATGAGAGAATGATTATTTTTATTTTTTATTTACAAAGATAGATTGCTTTTCAAGAAAGATCAATTAAAAAAATTAAAGGTTAAACTACTTACTCAGTCACCTTGAATTTTTTATGTGTTTTTTTTAATCATAGAGAGGATTTTTTTTAATTTAATCACTGAAATTTTAAATTTTATTCGTTTAGGTCAATTATTGTGACGTTAATTTTTTAGTATCGTGATGTTATATCATCAAAAACACTATGGGAGTTTTTGGCAAACGACTGATAGGTGGTTCCAGTAGCTGATTTGACCAACTGGTTTGATTAACTGATTTGATTAACTATTTATACAGAAATGTTTGGTAAAATTTAGCTTATAACTGATATGGGTAAAATGGCAAATAAGGGTATGATACATTTAGTTGTTAAGTACACACATGTATTATAATATTTTAGTCTTTATTACGGTGAAATTATTCGGATAAAATACTTTTGATAAGGAACTAAAAATTCCTTAAGAAAATGAGTGAATATTTTTGACAATTTTGAATATATTTTTTAAATTTAATATTTACAAATATTAACCTTAGATTAATACATTCTATTAACTTTATATAAAAGATCAACACTACATTTTTTTTACTTTCATGTTTTGCTATATTTTTGTAACTAAAATATATTTGAGAATCTAAAACTAAAAAATAAAATAATAAAATAAAATTTCACTAAAATATACTAGGATGAAGGCTATTTAATTAGATCAGGTTTTAAGGCAAGGATGTAATTATGAGGAAAAATAAGGTCAAATATATCATTTAACATCTTATTTTGCAACCAGCTCTTCCAAATCGTTGGATTTTCTAGCGTTTTCATTTTCAGCTTATTTTGCAAAATAAGCTCTTTCATAAAGGTGTTTACCAAACACTAAAAATGGAGGGTTTAATTACCAATCAGTTATTTATGCTAAATAAGCTAAAAACTTTTTAAAAAGTTGTTTACCAAACACCCCTATGTTTTGGACTTTTTCATTCATGAAATTAACCTAATATTTCAGCATTCTTCTTCTTCTTAGCTAAAAATCCTTTTTCATTGCTGTTCGAATGTCGCTTGTGAAATAGTTGGCATCAAATTGACAAAAATATGTGTTTGAGACTTTGAGGGGGAAAGTTCCTTAAAAAATCGAGCATACCTCAGGACTTGTCGGATTACTTCAAGGAGAGGTATGTTAACTTGTACCATCTGGAATACTTCTATAATCTCTTTTTCTTCGGCTCTTTTTTCATGCCTCATCAATCTTGAAGGGAATGGTGGAATGATTTCATGGGAAGGAAAAGAAGGAGGAGGAGGATTTATTGGGAAGAAGGAGAAGAAGGATTAGACGATGAAGATGTACCTTGAACATCGGAATGTGACGCTTCCTTCTCTTTTTTAGATTGTGTGACATTCTCCTATGGGTCTTTAGGTGCAATAACAGTTCCACTTCAGAGGATAATAACACTAACATTCTTTCTCGTATTTAACTTTATTTGAGAAGGTAGTTTACCCTACGACCCTAATCTCCCCACGGTTTGAGCCAATTGGCACACTTGTTTATCCAACTCTTGCAAATGTGCTTCAATTCAGCTTTGGAATTTTTCCTAGGAAATCGTTAGCTTCTTCAGGGAAGTAATTATTTTCTCTTGGGAAATCGCCAACTTCCCCATCATCACCTCCAACGACATCTTTTGCATTTGTTGTTGTGTAGGTGACCTTAACTGGTATATCAACTTCGGGTTTTGTGCATATATGAAATTAGGATGGTATTGTCACCCTGAATTGTACGTGTTTCCATACGGGTTGTATAGTCTTTGGAGAAGTCCTGGAAAGTTTCCTATAATGTTGACTTGTGCATTACCTTCTTCTTGCAACTTTGGGCAGTAATTCATCGGATGATCTGACATCGTGCATATCCCATAGGCTCTTGTTACTCCAGATTTCCCTGCAACAAGTGAATTAACCACTTCAGTTAATTTATCTAATTTATTTTCAATGGAATATGTATTTATCTCATGAACCTGTCGGTTGGGTTCACTTGAAAGCTGTTGAGTATTGGATGTCATTTTCGAAATTAATTTCCTCGTTGCATTTGATATCATATTTACGAGAGCTCATCTGTTTGCAGCATCGATCATCTTCATTTCTATGGCAAGAAGGCCTTCGTAAAAATATTGAAGAAGCGTTTGCTCGGTTAATATGTGTTGCGGACAACTTGCGCAAAGGTTCTTAAAGCGCTCTCAATAGCCATAAATATTTTCTTTGTGCTTTTGTCGGATTGAGAGAATTCTCATTCGTAATTCACTTGTTTTGGCCATTAGAAAGTACATATAAAGAAAAATTCGACTCGTGTCAGCCCATGAATTAACTGAAGAGGTAAGTAAAATAACCATTCCTTAGCCGAATCAGCTAAGGAAAAAGGGAAAGCTCTAAGTTTTATTTGATCTTCGGTAACTCCTTGTGGTTTCATGCTAGAGCAAACCATTTGGAATTCCGTCAAGTGTTTGTGTGGATTTTCATTGGAAATACCGCGAAAAGTGGGTATAAGATAAATAAGGCATGTCTTTAATTGGAACTGAGTTCCGCCTTGAGGAAAGGCTATACACAACGACATTTGAGTGGTAGGAGCTGCAACTAGCTCCCAGATCGTTGTTTATTCCTCCATCGGGATCTGATCTTCGTAATTTATCTTGGTATATACATCAGCTTCATAATCTATCTTTAGATCTGGATTTGTTCTTGAACTCTGCTCTTGTTCTTATTGTCTTTTTCTTTTCTCTCAAAGTGTTTGTACGTGGATTCTTCGGGCTCGTGCTTCGATCTCTAGGTTAAAATCTACTAATTCTCCTGGATTATTTATGGTCATAAATTAAAAACAAATAAATAAATCAGTAACTTGCATTTAGTCCCCGACAACGACGCTAATTTGACATGCGTTATTTTTCATGTCAGAATAACTTTTTTTCTTAATTAATAAATAAAGGAAATTGACGTAGTAAAAGAGAAGTAAGAGTCGATCCCATAGAGACTAAGGAAACTCACTGATTTATGCTTGAATTAATCTTTGAACCAGGTAGTGAGTAGAACAATGTTTAAGTAAATGGAGGGTTTGTAGACGAAGAGAGTAAAATAAAATAAAAACATGAAAATAGGAAGATTGAAAAGTAAAGAAGATTAAGAAGAAGATCTAAAAGAAGTAAATTCAATATGGTAAAGTTAGCCTTGGGTTGTCTCTTTGACTTAGTTTTCTCGGATCATCAAAAATTGTTTTTACTTCGGGATTCACGTCGGCTACTTGTCTACAAGGATCAATC